AGCAAGAGAAATACCCAACAGAGTTAAGAGACAACTCACAGTTTGGGAAAAGTTTTGCTAGCTGTTCCTTAGACAAAGGGCTAGTACCTAAAATATATGAAACACTGAAAAAAATAAGACCCCTAAATTTAAAGGCCCAAGACAAAAATGGTCATCTGAAGTGAACAGACACTTCTCAGATGAAGAAGTAGAAATAATAAATAAATATATGAAAAAATATTCAATATAACTGGTCATTTGAGAAATGCAAATCAAAACAACATTAAGACTTATTGGTGATCAATTGGTAACTTTAGATGGTGATTTATATGAATATGGTCCAGAGCTTCAGTCTGTCCCATGTGTAAGGTATTGGCTGCTGGTAATATGTGTAAGCACTCAGATAAGCATGTGATAGGCACTCAAGAAATGGGAATCTCTCTCTTGAATTGGCATTCCTTTGTTTGAATTTGAGAACAATATTTTCCCTCTGATCTGTTTGTCGCAGTAGAATGGGTCCCTGTGACTCAAACTGATAACAAACCTTTTCAATATGTAGTTTGCAGGGAAGAAAACATGGGGATCACTTAGAGTACTGCTATCCCAATATCTGGTGATTCTAGCTATTTAAGTTAAAATAAAATGCTCTAATTATTATGAAAATAACCACAAAGTCAGGGCTGGAGAGATATCTCAGTGGTCTAACCACCTGCCTGGCAAGTGCAAGGACCCGGGTTTGATCCCCAGTACCACATGCTGTGCCAGCCCTGGAACCCTGGGCACACCAAGCCGGCCATGGGAAACTGGGTGTGGGGTTGCACACCTGTAATCCCAATGCTGGGGAGGCTGAGACAGGAGGATCACTACAAGTCCAAGCTGCACAGTAAGACCCTGTACCAAATAAATAAATATTAAAAAAAATAATTACAAAGTCAGTTCATTCATTTGATTGGCCTCATTTCTGGCACTCAAAACTATTTGAAACTTTGGAAAGAAGCCTACGTGGACTATTTCCATCACAGCAGAAAGGCATTGGACAGCACTGCTCTAGAAAACTAGAATATGGGGTAAACCTCCTATTCACCTAACTACTATTTCACTACTGTATTTCCAAATACCTTGACTGGTGAATATTTTTAGAAAATGACTTTAATATTTCTATTTCTCTGACACAGCCCTATCCCTCACCTCTGATTCAAGTAATTATGTAAATACATTTCATTCCTGTTCTCTTCCATTTTTTTCCTTTTGGTGGCACTGGGGACCAGGACACTCACATAGGAGAGGCAAGCACTGTACTGCTAACCTATACCCCAGCCCTTATGTTGAAATAGGGCATCACTAGAATGCTCAGGCTGGCCTTGAACTTGCCATCCTCCTGTCTCAGCCTCCTAGAGTGTTGGGATGACACATGTGACACAATGCCAAACTGTGTTCCACTTTTGGGACCTTGATGCCAGTTCTTGTATTATTTTATGTAATTCATTTGTAATAGTTTAGCTTACTATATTTTGCATCTTGCCCCATAGATTGTAACTCATGGAGAACTGGGGCAGCGAGTTTCCTTTCCATGTTTGTACTCCTAACTTGCTTGGCACAGGTCCTCGCCCACTGCTGTGACTGCTCATTTTATTGATGTGGCTTGGTTCTTGTCACCAAACGCCCTTGGATCTTTTCTCTTTTCTTTTCTTTGGCCATTCTTAAAACATGGCATTACTACCTCAAGAAAGCCCTTCTGCATACTGAGTAGACATAAATAATCTAACTCCTTGCTTAGGTAAAGGCTGAACGGACAAAAAGGGCAGGCTCAGGACCTTAACTCTAAAAGGCCAAGCACCTTGTTACAGAAGACCCAGCCAGCGGTGTTGCATGGTCCAGACTCCACACTCTGTGAGAGCTAGGATCTCACAGGATGTGGGAGCCAATCAGTAGCTCAGGCGGATGACATCATTTAGCTGTGTCGCCCACCCGGAAGCACATGCTTGGTTAGGCTCGAGGCACAGAGGACTGGCAGCGTCCATGCTGGGGTGCAAGTGATAGGCTTGCAGCAGCCCAAGGGAGGCGGAGGACAGCACTGCTGGCCCTGTGATGGGTGGGCCTGCCTCTGGAGGAGGTGCGGAGGGGCTGTATCTGAGCCTCATTGTGCCCATGCAGTGTGGGCCTGAGTTTGCTCAGAAGTGAGCATTTTGCCTGGCAAGAGCAAGGTCCTGGGTTTAATCCCTGATACTGCAAAAGCAAAAATGAAAAAAAGAAGTGAGCATTGCCCTGTAAGAGCTGTAGGAGAAAATGGCATTATCATAGACATTTCTCATTTAACCACTGAGTTTTTATCCCATGACAAGGTCATTAAATGATTTGGTCACTAAATGAGGATTTGTATATAGTATGTACAGTATTCAGAACAAAGACATGATCAAAAGAGAGACTGGGCATGGCGGTGCATGCCTGTGATCCTAGCACTTGGGAGGCTGAAAACAGGAGGATCACTATGAGTCTGAGCTGTGCAGTGAGACCTTGTACCAAATACATTAAAAATAGAGAAAGAAAGATGGACAGATGGATGGACGGAAAGAAAGAGAAAGAAAGAAAGAAAGAAAGAAAGAAAGAAAGAAAGAAAGAAAGAAAGAAAGAAAGAAAGAAAGAAAGAAAAAGAAATGAAAGATATGGTCAAAAGAAACTCTATCTTGATGACTTTGATTTTATTCGCAGAAATTTTACAGGCAGTGCTATATAACAACATAAAACCACAGTGCTGCACTATATAATACAATCAGCAAATATTACAGTACTGTATAAACAATGCATACAGTACAAAAAGACACTGAGGCACTGTAAACAACATGTATAGAACTGTGCCCCCAAAAAGACATTCAAGCTAATCCATTAGTCATTGAGTCCTTCCTATTATCGTTGGAATTCTGATCAGGGGATGTAGAAGGCAGATGGTGAAATAGAAATTGAAAGAACTAGTAGTAGGGGTCTTCGGTGTAGGGTTTGAGAAGAATCCTATTAGTGGTATCTGTTTTGTTATTTTCTTTTTTGCTTCATAAACTTGATAGCACAGTAAAAGTCACTCAATTGCTGTTCTACTTTCATAAATCACATTTGGATCTATGGCTTCTAGTTTCCCATAGCTGTATCAACTTTTTTTTTTCTTTTTTTGTTTTTGTGGTACTGGGGATCAAACTTGGGACTTTTTGCTTGCCAGGCAGGCTGTTATGGTTGGCGTAGAGGTGTCCCCCAAAGCCTCATGTAGTCATGGGATGGCTTCTGTTTGTGATTGAGTATTGTGTGTGTGGGTGCTGCACCTGCCCTAGGGCGGGTAATCTGCATTACAATGTGGGGAGGGGAGAGAGGCTTGCTAGCTGCCTGAGCTGCTGCCACTCCCTTTGCTTTTTGCTCTTTGCTCCCCCCATTAACGGCTGCCTTCTGCCATGTGCCACTCTGCCTTGGAGCCAGCTGAGTATGGACTGAAACCTCCACTAACTGTAGGCAAAACAAACCTTTTCTTGGGCTGGCCTAATAGCTCAGCGGACTAAAGTGCCTGCTTGCTAGGCAGAGTGCAGCAGCCAGGGTTTGACCCCTGGCGTGCCATGACAGACCCACCCCTGGGCATGCTGAGACATGATTGAGTCTGGGTATGGTGGTGCACAACTATAATCCCAGCTCCTGAGAAGCTGAAAACAGGAGAATTACTACAAGTATGTTCTACATAGTGAGACCCCACAGAGCCTGTAGACCCTTTCCTAAATATAGGGAAAAAATAATAACAAATAGACCTTTTCTTCCTTAATTTTTGGTGTCAAGTATTTTGTCCCAGCAATGAGAGAAGAGTAAGTGACACACAGGTGCTTATGCCACTGAGCTATCTCCTTGGCCTGCTATATTCACTTTTGAGAACACGCCTGTTAAGCCCTTTACAGTGAACTTCTTTGGTACTTCTTTAATTCTTTCCTCTTGTTCTTCCTTATAAGTGTTGCTGTGCTTCCAACTCTATTAAGTATTCTGTACTTAGTTTTCCCTGAGTATATTTCACTAATTCTTCAAAATTGTCCACTTTAGCTTCCAAATTAAGCACATTAGAAAGTTGTTTTATGACATTGACATGTTCATGTTTGTCAAATGCTTCTGAATTATGCATGAAATGTTTTAGGCATATTTCTGTATGCCTTGCATGCATTTTTCTGCCACTCTTCTCTAAACTGATTCAATGTTGTTAATGCAATTCAAAATGTCTGGTTTTCAAAAATGAGCAAAGGTTACTTCATTATTTTCTTTTGCTGCTGCAGCTTTGCAAGAAGTTGTGTGCAAACAGTATGCTTTGAAGGTATCTATAATCCCCTGCCCAAGGACTATAAACCAGCAGTTGTGTTCTTAGGCAGATACACTACCTTTACAACTGGGTATAGCTTAACAGGATGCTGAGGTGGTCTGGAGCATTATCAAGCAGGATGATAATTTTAAAGGGAATGCCCTTTTCCACACAATACGACTTCACTGAGGGTATAAAGCAGTTGATGAACCAGTCTTCAAATAAAGCTTGTGTCACCCATACGTTATTTGTTTGATGTAATCAGGCAGTATGTGCTTACTAACCTGCTTTGGTGAACGTGGATTCTTGGAGTAAGAGAAGAGGAAGGCTGCAACTTGAGGTAACATTTCTTACTACCAACAATGTGACTGTCCTTGAAAGTCTTTTTTTTTTTTTTTTTCTTTTGTGGTACTGGGGATTGAACTCAGGACCTTGCGCTTGCCAGGAAAGCACTTACTCTACTGAGCTATCTCCCTGGCCCTTATCCATGAAAGTCTTGAAGCTGGGCATTGTTTTAGCTTCTTTGTGTATACAAGACTTTTTAGATCCTTTCTTAAAAAAAAAAAAAGTCTGGTTTCATCCACAAGGAAGGAGCTGGGGAGATAGCTTAGTGGCATAAGCACCTGCCTGGCAAGTGCAAGTTCTGAGTTCAGTCCCCAGTATGGAAAAAAAAAATTCACAAGGAAAATCTATTCTGGACAGAAGCTACCTTTCTCTATGATTTTATCAAATTGTTGAAGAAATTTTTCTATTACTTCTCTGTCTGCACTTGCCTCATAGCTGACATTCTGATTCTGTACGTGGAATTTTAACAAAACCACTGAAGCCATC